AAAAAAAAAAAAAAAAAAAAGAAAAAAAAGACAGGATCTCACTCTGTCACTCAGGCTGGAGTACAGTGGTGTGATCCCGGCTCACTGCAACCTCTGCCTCCCGGGTTCAAGCAGTTCTCCTGCCTCAGCCTCCCGAATATCTGGGATTACAGGCATGCATCACTATGCCTGGCTAATTTTTTGTATTTTTAGTGGAGACATAGTTTCAACATGTTGGCCAGGCTGGTCTCAAACTCCTGACCTCAGGTAATCTGCCCACCTCAGCCTCCCAAAGTGCTGTGATTACAGATGTGAACCACTGAGCCCAGCCAGGACTTCTTTTTATATTAGTATTATTGCTTATTCTTACCAAGTATGCCATACATTTTAATTGCTTTTCCCTCAGTGTGGAATGCATGTCTTCATTTTTTGAAATACGTACCTTTTCAGCTCTTCCATTGTATTTTTCATATGCTTCATTTATATTCTTCCTTGTATTATAACATGCTATCTTGATTGCACATGGATTTTCCTTTTTTGTAGTTTAAAGAGTCACAAATTATTTCTTTAACTCATTGCAATGATAATCACCAGCAAGTAGTCTTTAAGAAATAACATTAAGCTTTTTCTTTCAGATAAAATGCCAAGAACTTACCAAATCATAAATAAAATATTTGTTTCTAAAGGAATTTTCCTTATAATTCTAAGCAATCTCACTTATGATTTTGCCCCTTTTAGGCTGGATCAGTGCATGTAAGAATTCGACGAGATGCAAACGAACAAATGGTTCTTGCTCATGTGACCAACAGACTGTACACTCTGGTGTCTACTCTGACTGTTCAAATTTTTAAGGATGACTGGATTAGGCCTGCCTTATTGTCTGGGCCTGTTGCAGCCAATGTCCTCAATTTTTCAGATCATCACATAATCCCAATGCCTCTTTTAAAGGGTACTGATGATTTGAACCCAGTTACATCAACTCCTGCTAAACCTAGTAGTCCACCTCCAGAATTTTCATTTAACACTCCTGGGAAAAATGTGAACCCAGTTATTCTTCTAAACACACAAACAAGGCCTTATGGTTTTGGTCTTAATCATGGACACACACCTTATAGCAGCATGCTTAATCAAGGACTTGGAGTTCCAGGAATTGGAGCAACTCAAGGATTGAGGACTGGTTTTACAAATATTCCAAGTAGATATGGAACTAATAATAGAATTGGACAACCAAGACCATGATGGACTCTAACTTATTTTTATGAGGAATATTGTCTCTGTGGCTTCCAATTTATTTAGTAATCCAAGTTTGCATTGACTGTTTAATCATTTACTCTAGATGTTAGGTAACAGTAAGCTTGTTCACATTTCATGAAACCTATGAAACTATATTTTTGTAAAATGTACTTGCGACATTGAAATCCTCATAAATGTTAAAGTCTTTAAATAGGCTTCCTTTAGAAATGTGTTTCTTTAAATTTGGATTTTGGTATCTTTGGTTTTGTAGTTGACTGCAGTGTGATATGACCTTACCTTTATAAAAGCCACTTGATGGAATGGATCTGTCACATTACTAAGAATATGATATCTGTTTTTTTTTTTTTTTTTTTCCCTGAGACGAGTCTTGCTGTGCGTGGTGCCCAGCCAATCCATTATTATTAATTTAAGGCGATAGTTTATTAAGGTTTCCTTAGTTTTTGTTTAATTTTTTGAGATGGAGTCTCACTCTAACACCCAGGCTGGAGTGCAGTGGTGCCATCTGGGCTCACTGCACCCTCCGCCTTCCAGGTTCAAGCGATTCTCCTGCCTCAGCTTCCCGAGTAGCTGTGATTACAGGTGCCTGCCACCACGCCTGGCTAATTTTTGTATTTTTAGTAGAGATGGGGGGGTTTACCATGTTGGCCAAGCTCTTCTCAAACCCCTGACCTTGTGATCTACCCGCCTTAGCCTCCCAAAGTGCTGAGATTGGGTGTGAGCCCACCGCACGTGGCTGTTTTCTTTAGTGAAATTTATAAACATGCTTCTTGACTAATACACATTTTGGGAAAGGGAAGAGTGTCTATTCAAAATGTAAAAGTCTCTTTTATAGCTTTTCCAAACTTAATTGCTACATTTTTCTTTGAGGGTCTCCTGAATTATGTCTTGTAAACTAAAAGCAAATTTTTTAGCAGCAATTTTGGAATACAGTCTATGTAGCACAATTTGAATTTTTAAATCATCAAGGTTTTTGTTAAAGTTTCTCTCATTTAAAAATTTCAGTACATTTGTAAATAGTCTGTAAATGGCTCTCAGTGTTTTATTTTAATTAAGTGACACCCAATTTTTGGTGATTTGCAGTGAAAGAATCCCAATTTTCTGTATTACATTTAATCAAATACTGACATAATGAATTTATCTTTTCTGCCACATTTTCATTGATTGACTTTTTAATTTATTTTATTAACAAAATACATCAAATATATTACCAAAACACATGGAGTTCCATATATATTATGGAATTCAATGTCTTTTCAAGTTACACAAAGAATTTGAGTATACATAGTATAATTTTATCAAAGCATAATGGACCTTAGATTATAGAATATAGCATTGTTAGGTCTGCAGTGGGCAGTTTCTAGCTTTTGTTTTGCTTTGTCAAAAATAGGCAATTGTTAACTGTGATGAAGTACAAGAATTATGTATATTATGTTATTTTTTAGTTGTTTTCCAAATGCAGAGTTTTGTGGAGTTTTTAGTTTTTTTGTTTTTTGTTGTTTGTTTGTTTGTTTTTTGAGATGGAATTTCACTCTTATGGCCCAGGCTGGAGTGCAATGGCATGATCTCGGCCCACCGCAACCTCTGCCTCATAGGTTCAAGTGATTCTTCTGCCTAAGCCTCCGAGTAGCTGGGATTACAGGCATGCACCACCACATCCAGCTAAATTTTTGTATTTTTAGTAGAGACGGAGTTTCTCCATGTTGGCCAGGCTGGTCTTGAACTCCTGACCTCAGGTGATCCACCAGCCTCAGCCTCCCAAAGTGCTGGGATCACAGGCGTGAGCCACCATGCTCAGCCCCAAATGCAGAGTTTAAGGACTTTCTAATGTGGCTAGTATTACTTCCAAAAAGTAGAACAAGCAGCAGCCACACATGACCTATGAGGGTTTTTTGTTACTGTTTTATTTTATTATTCATTCTATAACAGTGTTAAAAAGGGATTTTGACAATGGACTCAACTTTCCTGAAATCCAGTGCTCCTGGAGATTTATGACTTTCCCAGCCATCAGCCAGCTATCTAGAGAAGATTTTTGTTTTTCTATAATCTGCAACAGTTTCTTCAGTCAACTCATCCACTTTCAAATAGGAGCAACACTTTCTTCACCGTGGATTAAAAACATCCAAGAAGCTGTCTCTGTCAAGCAGAATTGTCATCTGTGGTATAAATGTCCATATCCTAAATACCTTTTACTTAGTGAGGATTTGGTCACTGTCTTTGACATCTGCAACCCTGTTCAGGCATGTGACCTGCTGAAGAAATACAGCCCATGCTCCCTTGACTACTGGGGAAAATGATACTTTGTAAAATGTAATAAGGCAACCTCTTCCTTGTCCTTTGTCTTATATTCTCTAACTATTACTGTATCTGTTATTGGTCTACTATTACAGGATGATTCTTCCTTCATTGATCTCATCTAAGTGTGAATTAGGGTCATGCATGAAATCTGAACTGCCATGTCCTGAGTTATGGTTAAGAGGTATGTGCTGCCATCCCATTCTTCCCCATGGGATTTTAAAAGTGTTTAGGTACCAAACGCAGTTCTGTACGAGGTTTTATGCCTACTTCCTCAACACCAATTCAGAAATAACACCTGTGCAGCTATCCCACCAAAGGTGCTTTAATACCCACCTACACTGTTTGAGAAAGGACAGTTACCTGTGGGTTATGAAAGACTTGGCCCTGCTTCCTGAATGTAAGATGTTACAGGAGACATTGGCCCATGCATTATTATATATAGAAGTCTTACTTGCCAAGCTCTGACTAACTTCTGGATATAAAAATAAGGAACTCACCCAGCATAGGCCTATAGGCAGTAGCCTCACTAGTAAATCTTGCCACCGAATCACTTGAAGCTAGACAAAGAAAGAAGTTCAATTTAAGTATTTGGCCCGTAGTTTGTGATTAAGATGTAAACTCCGTGAAGTGTAATTAACCCTGCTTTACAAAGTCACTGTATTGTAATGGGAAAACACTGCACTAGGAGGCAAAAGACCTGAATTTCAGTTCTGATGCTGCCACTGTGTAAGGAAGTCGTTTTGTAACCCATGGGCAAATCATTTACGCTTGCTCATCTGTAAAGTTAGGGAGAGGAATAATTAGTTGATCTGTAAAATATCGGCTCCAAAATGTTATGGATAACATATTTATATGTCCCCAATTGCTAAACAGATGTTGTGCCCAGAATTTTTTCTAGCGACTACCTCAATATACAGACCAAGTGTTCCCTGCACCAACACCCAAGCCATTAATTTGAGGTGCCATGAAAACAGGTGAACCACAGGCTAACACCGTTTAGGTTTTTGCATTTTTTTCAGGCTTGCCTCTACTTAAATATGTTTAGAGAGTTTTCTTAGACTTCTTTCTTTTTTTTTTTTTTTTTTTTTTTTTTTGAGACGGAGTTTCGCTCTTGTTACCCAGGCTGGAGTGCAATGGCGCGATCTCGGCTCACCGCAACCTCCGCGTCCTGGGTTCAGGCAATTCTCCTGCCTCAGCCTCCTGAGTAGCTGGGATTACAGGCACGCGCCACCATGCCCAGCTAATTTTTTTGTAGTTTTAGTAGAGACGGGGTTTCACCATGTTGACCAGGATGGTCTTGATCTCTTGACCTCGTGATCCACCCGCCTCGGCCTCCCAAAGTGCTGGGATTACAGGCTTGAGCCACCGCGCCCGGCCTAGACTTCTTTCTTTGTAGGGAAGGGTTATTTGGGGAAGTGTTGGAAAAAAGATTAGGGCAGGGTACCCTTAATTTATATAAAGTACAAAAGAATGGGAAACATTTTCCCTTTCTTCTTTAATCTCTAATGTCATGTTTGGAATTACACATAACTTAGCAGATACTGGAGAGGACCTGAATTTTAAGCCTCTGATTTAGCTGTTTGTTAACTGCCAATTTTTGCTTGACTAAAGAATCCTGATCTTTTTTGGGAGTCTGATCTCCTTCTAATATGAGAAAGTGCTTTTTACATTCCAGATTGTTTGAATTAAACTGTTTGGATTAAAGAACATATATGGAGTTTTCTCTCTGATTTTAAATAATCCTTGTTTCTTTATTCAGTAGCTATTTATTGTCTCATATTCAGCAAATATTTGTTGAGAATCTGTTACATGCCAGGCACTATACTAAGTTAATATGCATTCAGTATACCAGCTGGTGTAACCCAGACCAAAAGTAACACAAAGATGAACAAGAGTTCCTTCAAGGAGCTGATAACCCTAGCAGGAAAGCTAAGACACTAAACTATTGCATGTATCATCTAATTAAATTTCTTTCCACTTCCTTCTTTGGCATCCTTTTGCAAGATTCTTTTTAACTACCAGGCTTAAAATAATGGGGTCCCAGAGCACTTAATGGCTTTGGGTACACTTTATTTAAACAGTTACTAGTTTAAAAGCACCTTTAATAAGACTGAGATCATCATCATCAAATTGCCACCCAACAAGCCTAGCTTCTTGCAGAAAAGTTAACTTGGATAACACATGGCTAAGTTTTCTGACTAATGCTGCATCAGGTAGAAATTCTTTAGTACTGAAGTCAAAAAACACTAATTGCTTAAGATTCTCAAATACATCCATAAAGGAAAGCCATCCATCACTGCTCACACAATTTCCTGCCAAGTTCAACTGCTGGAAGTTTTTCAGAGGGTTCTATTCAAACAATGCACCTGGGTGAAGAAGTAAGTATATTAGTTGGAAGAAAAACTTTTTTAAAAAAAGAGAAATGGGTTCTACATTTATTTTACACACTTTTTTCACTTTGAAATGGCCATGTTTGAACCAGTGCTTTGCCTCAGAAAGAAATTATTAATTCTCTATAGCTAGGGCAGTGATTATGAATATGGTCTATTATATTTACAGATATTTTTCTTAGAGCATAAGGGAATCTGATAAAGTGATTCGTAGTGAAGTAGCAATAATATGTACATGAATTCCATTTTTTTCCCTTTTCCTGATTCCTAGGAAACGGAAGCTTGGTTTAAAATTGATGTGTGAGAGATGCTGTTAAATATTAGGTACTTGTTTTCGAAACTGGAGTCAATCTTTGGCAATATGAGGTCGTTTCCTCTTCTGAAGAAGTAAACGCTACCTAACTGTTGTTTCTTTGGGTATGTTCCTAACTATAAGCTTGAGTAAGTGAGCCTCCTTCAGTATCTAAAGATTTGGGTGTTTTTGTTTATCTATTTGTTTATCTATTTGTTTATAACCTCTTCATGAAGTTCCTCCATTCCTTACAGAATAGGGCACCTAAAGTATTTCCTACAGAGGGTGGGTGGATATCCTGTCTTTCTGATAGACAAAGAATGTATACACACACATATATGTGTGTGTGTGTGTGTGTGTGTGTGTGTGTGTGTATACACAAATAATTTAGTGTTCATTCTTTGTACCATGTTACCAGTTTAGGTGGTACTGGAACTCAAGTGAGTCTTGCAATAAAAAAAATACCTTTCAGGTCATGTACTATCATTCAGATTGGTCAGTATACAACATTAGGATTTCACAAAGCTAGCTCCATGTTAATTATGCATATTAAACTGTGCAAAGCATTAGCCCTACCCACCTTCCTGGCCTTTTCTGGATGACTAAGTTCGCCTTGAAGTACAGAGTGGACAGTCAGGCAGACTGGACAAGGGAACTCTATTACTTACATGTTTATACTCCAGAGTATCACACACAAATTGCAGAAGATGTAAGCCTGGCTTATCAATCCACATTACTCAGCTCATCTGAGCTGATGTTAGTTTTAGTGTACTTCACCCAACTTTGGAGGTTTAATTTGTTTTATATTAAACTTATGTTTCTTGGGAGATGTATAATATTAGATGATGTTCTAGAAACTGACCCTTATGGCAATGAGGATCCATGATTCAGTTTGGATTCCAAGTAGGAAAAGAGGTTTTAAAAGTCCCCTTCCATTGTCTCAGGGAGAAGACCACTAAAGAGTTTGTTAAAGAAAGAAAGGTTCAGTGCTGTACAATCTTAATGTTAACAAGCAAAGATTAAAAGCTATCTGCTAACAGTAATGAGGGCTTGATGACAGAAATGGACAATCTTATCTGACCATCTTACATGGGTGAGGTCAACCTAGTTATGCACTGAAACTGTATCCTTACCCACTTTCAGTAAGGGTGTTTACCAGCTACGTAGTGAGGAGGTCTGTGAGTTTGGTGTCTGATGTCATTGCATGGCCTTGTGTAGTTTGTTCAGTGCAACTAAGTACATTCTAGATTGTGTCTTTAGTCAATGTCAGCCAATGCTTTCATCACTATCATAAGGTCTTGAGTTTGAAAGCTCTTTAGGTTCTTCTTTACAGATACCTGAAATGACTGACCGTGCCTGACTAGTCAAGATGCTAGCAGCTGAAGTGGGCAAAACCAGGTAAGGAGGTGATTCACTGTGTTCTGCCTTCATGTCTCATACCCATGGTCAGTGTGACTGACACCATCTTTGGGCCTTCTTTTCCAGCTTTTATTTATTTGAAAAGTGAGATGGACTGCTAATTGTTCCCAAACCTGTCTCCCCTTATTCTATAGTTATAGAGTTTTATTTGAGCATATGGCCACTCATATCCCAGCCTCCCTTGCTATTAGGTGGTGCTAAATTTTTACCAAGGAAGTATAGGCAAAAGTGATGTGTGCAACTTCCACATCACTTTTCCAATTTCCCCCCTTCTACTAGGTTGAAATGCTCACAGGGCAGTGACCTAGCTATAGCCATGAAGTCAAAAATAATACTCTAAGGAATAGAGGAGTAAAAAAAAAAAGTTGATATCTGGATCTGAAAGACTGCACAGAGCAAAGCCACTCCACCTTCCTGGACTGCTCATTTATGGACTGTTAAATAAGAGAGAATCAAGTTCTACCTTCTGTAAGCCATTGTATAGTTGGATCTCTGTTATTGCAGCTTAGCCTGTGCCCAGCCCAACTAGTACATAGGTCCTTGCATTCCCCTCCCTTCCTACTCCTCTATTTCTTGAAGGGGTGGCTTTCTCCCTGCTCTCTTACATCTATGTTTGTTTCCTTTCTGCCTTTGCCCCTTCTCCATATGCTTCCCAGCATGATATGCACTCAGTCAAAATGCTGGTTGCCAGTTGTGTGTCTATTTAAGGCCCCTTCCCCAAAGATCAAATTTGTTTCTCCTTCTCAGCTAGCAGAACATATTTTCACCACCTAAAAGGAATTTAAGAAGAATTTAAAGCCCATTCCACCGTCAGAGAGTGAGCAGTTTATACTGGTTATCTACTAAGGCATAATCTTAACATCATCAATTGAAGAGAGTTTCTTAGATAATTATTAGAATGTGTGCAAGTGCAGGAGCCAAGAACAAACAACATTTGTCATAACCTAAGGGCATGCCTTTTGTTCATTTAATCTGCAGCGCTTATGAGGAGCAGACTAGACCTGAGAGAAACAGAATCCATGACATTTATAGAGCCATAGGCTGTGTGTAAGCTGTGGAGAGTGCAAATGCCTTGATTGGAATTCCAGGAAAAATCTCAATGCTCTGGATAGAAGAGTTCTGATTCTTGGGGGTTCCTGTATCCCAAACACAACTCTTGTTTGTATTGTCCTGTAGTTCACCTGAACCAGCACCAGAGCTCTCGCCATTTATTCATTCAGCACCATTTCTTAGTGTTACTATGTACTGCGGATTATCCTGGGTGATGGGGATATGTACAAATGACAGATGTGGTCCCTGTCTCATTGGGCTTATGAAATAGTGTGAAGACATACGTTATCAAGTAATTAGATGGGTGGTGGGTGCTATGGGTAGGTCAGGGTGCCCTAGAAGCACACAAAAGCAATAGCCTTTCCCACTCCACTTTGTTCCCAGAACACTGCAGTGGGGCTTATATGCTTAAGGAAGAAGACTAGAGGATTCTTCTTAGGAGAAATGGAACTGCCCCCAGGAAAAGGCCCTACAAAGAAGGGGCCATTTTGCTTGCCTAATCACCCCTGGTAAAGCTAGCCTGTCAAAAAGTCACCCCCTCCTTCAGATACACAGAACTTCCTAACATCTTGTGTCTGACTCTCAAATGTGAAGAGAACAGTACAGGATTACCAGACATTTGAGAACAGCCTCCAACAAGGAAGACAGAGACTAAAAGCCAAACAACTCCCAAAGAAATGAGGCACCATAGAAAACAAGAAAAAGCAAACTTCTAAGTTTTCCAGAGATCCTAAGTTTTTCAATAGACTGCATCTACTCAACAACAATAAGATGCTATGAAGTTTTGGAAAATAAAAATAAGATAGCAGTATCTATACAGCAGAAAGATTGGGCCCAGGATTTAACACAGAGCTTCTAGAACATGAATAGGATCTGTGATGGCTGATGGCTTTTTTTTTTTTTTTTTTTTTTTTTTTGAGACAGAGTCTGGCTCTGTCACCCAGGGTGGAGTGCAGTGGCGTGATCTCAGTTCACTGCATCCTTCACCCCACTGGCTCAAGTGATCCTCTCAACTCAGCCTCCCATGTAGCTGGGATTATAAGTATGTGCACTACGCCCAGCTAATTTTCATATTTTTAGTAGAGCTGGGCTTTCACCATGTTGGCCAGACTGGATTTGAACTCCTGACCTCAAGTGATCCACCTACCTCAGCCTCCCAAAGGGCTGAGATTACAGGCATGAGCTCTCTTTTCAAGAACAGGCTGGATAATGGAGTTCAGCATTTTGGAAGGCCAAAGTGGGTAGATCACTTGAGGTCAAGAGTTGGAGACCAGCCTGGCCAACATGGTAAAACCCCATCTCTACTAAAAATACGAAAATCAGCTGGTGTTGCGGCATGCACCTATAATCCCAGCTACTCAGAAGGCTAAGGCAGGAGAATCACTTGAACCCGGGAAGCGTAGGTTGCAGTGAGCCAAGATCACGCCATTGCACTCCATCCTAGAAGACAGACGGAGAATCCATCTCAAAAAACCAAACAACAAAACAGGTGAAATAGGTACCTGAGCTAGTAATGATGTTTATGTTGTAGTCTCAGATTGCTGATAGACAAGAAACAAAATTATGGGAGTCAAGAGCAAAACATGGCAAAACTTGGAGATTGAATACAATCTCTGAGGAAGAAGAGCAGAGAGCCTAGGATCAAGTTTTAAGGAAAACTAGGAGCATTTAATATCTGGGTAGAGGAATTGCCATTGAAAAGAAGATTAAGAAGTAGCCAAGGTGACATGGAGGTCAAGAGAATGCTTTGAAAAGAAGGGAGTGCTCCGTGTGGACTCCTGCAGAGGAATCAAATAAATAACACTTCTGAAAGTGTCTATTGAAATACAGACACATGCAGGGGTGTGGAGAGTCAAATGCAATGAGTAGGAAGTAACAGATGGTCAGGAAGTAGAGATGTCATAAGGGTACATAAAATTTATTTTAGAGCTTTTACCTTGACGGAGAGGAGAGATAGAGTGATAACCAAAGGAGGAAGATAGGACTCAGGGAGAGTTTTATTTAAAATGGAAGAGATTTGAGCAACTTTAAAAACTGACATGAGGGAGCTAATAACAAGAGGCACAATCAATAAAATGATGTAGCAGGGCGCGGTGGCTCACGCCTGTAATCCCAGCACTTTGGGAGGCCGAGGCAGGTAGATCACGAGGTCAAGAGATCGAGACCATCCTGGTCAACATGGTGAAACCCCGTCTCTACTAAAAATACAAAAAAT